TACCCTTAAACTATATTTCAGCTCAAAACTATCCTTCCCGTCAAACTATTAGGTCAAAAGTGCCCTTTTTATTAACGAAAGTTGTTAAATGCCATGTGGATGCCACATTGCACGTCAATTGGCAGTAAAATGATAATAACAATAACGGAAAAGGGTCAAAAATACCCTTAAACTATTCGAAATAGCTCATATATACCCTTAAAATATATTTCGGCTTAAAACTACCCTTCCCGTCAAACTATTGGGTCAAAAGTACCATTCTTATTAACCGGAAGTTGTTAAATGCCATGTGGATGCAACATGTCATGCCAATACTAATTACTCTTTTTTTCCACTGCCACATAGACTAAATCCCTAAATCTTAATTACTCTTTTTTTCCCCTCATTTCATTATTTTTCAGAAACGATTTCACCCCTTCTCCCTCCTTTCGCGGCTAGGTTTCACAGCTTCTCCCAAATAAACCTAGCTGGGAAACGAGGGAGAAGTTGTGAAACCTAGCTGGGAAACGAGGGAGAAGGGGTGAAATCGTTTATGGAAAATAATGAAATGAGGTGGAAAAAAGAGTACTTAAAATTTATGGATTTAGTTTATGTGGCAGTGGAAAAAAAAGTATTAGTATTGGCATGCCATGTGGGAATGAGAAGTCATATTATCAGCTGATTAATATTTTTATTTTCCGTTTTAATATCCAGATTTATTTAACTTGTTTGATTGAGGATCTATAAAATAAAATAAAAATTATTTCTATATTACAAGATAAAAGAATATTTGTATACATTCTATTCTCTTCAAACTCGTGTTAATTTTCAAAATGATTTTATAGTATAAAATAAAATAAGATTGTGTATATTCTATTCTCTTCATACTTGCGTTACTTTTAAAAATAGATATTTGATATATAGACCGAGAAAAAGACTTAAAAGTGTCACAAAGTGAATTTTTTAGAAGTATCCTATGATATATGCTGATTTTTTTTGTTTATCAAAGTAGCTGTTTTAATCAATACACTCCAAAATTTTCTTTACCAAAGTCCTCAATTGACACCACACTTATTTTCTTGAGACCTCAATGCACATTTAACATGGTTTTTTTTTCATCAGTGTTTGGTATCACATTGAATGGTGATTGAGTTCAGATTTACGTCGAGAAGTTTTATATTAGAAGATAAAACTTAAATTCATGACCTTTGATTAAAAATAAAAAAATATTTATCACTCCATTAGAACTTTTGTTGATGCACATGTTATTTGAGGTTTTCTAGTTTTCTTTTAAATAAAGGGTCAATTGAGTTGTATTATTCACTACAAAGAAAGTGGAGATACCACGACATTATGTAAATATCGTATTAGGCAGTTTAAATATCGCAAAACTACTTACCGACGATTTTGATTGTCGAGAATTTTCCAACATTTAAAGAAATGTCGATAATTAATAAGCTACCTTTATTCATGACATATATAAAATGTCACTTATTTTTTTATATTTAAATTATTTTCAAAAAACAATTTACGACATTTATTTGTGACCTTTATAAATTGTCACATTAAAATTAAATTTTTGCCAATATCAAAATAACTTTTTTTACGACATTTGTAAAATGTTTTCTCCGTGTAAAATTAATGACATTTTTTTTAAACTTTGCAAATGTTGCTTTAAAATTTCCAATCATTATTGGCTGCAAACTGAAACAAAGGGTCGAACTTAAGCTCACCTTAACTTTGCAATCTTTAAGTTATTGATATGAAGGTCACGTCACCATATATCGATTAATTAAGGTAAAAATTACTACTTTTATTTTGTAAGCATTCAATAATTTTGTTCTACAATTTAATATAAAGAGTGACAAAATAATTTTAAAAATCTTAATTTTCAACATTAGGTGTAAAAGTTGGTACTTAGCGTCAAATGATATGATATTTGAAACAAATGTCATAATATTATTGGCATTTATATTTAATGTGATTGTTTAAATAACATTTCGTGTCAAATGTCATTATTTTTAGGATATTTTGCGCCAAATGTCTTTATCATTACGACAATGACGCTGTTTTTAATGACATTTTGTCATAAATGTCGTCGATGCCATAGCTCTACTTTCTTGAAGTGATTGTATTAATGTTTTTTTAGTCTACCCAAATGAAGTTGGAAGACATAATTGAGTAAAAATATCTTTTTATAGTTTATTTTAGATAAAACATGATGAAAATAATTAAGTAAATATAAATAATATGTTAATTTTTTTATACGAGATGATCACATATTTCAATAGTTATAATATATTTTTAGGATAAAATATTAGTAGGTAACAATGTGGTGTTTTTTATGTCCATTTATATTAATAGTTGTACGTAATATTTCTCTTGTTATTTTTTGTTCTTTTTTATTACTAGCTATCTGTTATTTCTTGTACCTGAATTATTGTATTATTTTATTGTAGTTTTCATTTTGTTACTATCTACTATTAGTTGAATGCAAAGACAACATGATATTTGTACAATTTTGTTAACAATGATTTTTTATATGTTTATATGGCAAGTTAAAATAAAGTCATAGTTATTCAATAGCTCTTCCTAAAACTATTAAATCAAATAGACTAAGGATGTGGACACATAGGTGGGTGGCTCATCGGAGCTCCGGCGAGCTATTCGCCGGAGAAGAAGATAAATAGTGAAACCGTTTGTTAAATAAAAATTCTGAAAATTATTCCATCCTAATCTAAAAAATTATTCATCACCCTCAAAAATTTAAAATCAATCATTCTACGAAGTGAAAATTTAATATATAATATATATTAGACTAATATTTTCAAGTTATAGCAGTAGAATTAAACTTTCAAGTTGTAAAAATAAACTATTATAAGTTGATATAGTAATTACTAGGTTGTAGGTTTAATTAATTTCAATAAAGGAAAAAATACTCTCTGATTTCTTCGAAGGAAAATTACACTATATAAAGTTGTGCTTGGTTATATTTTTTTCTAAAGAATAAGGTTGAATGTACATAAAAAGTGAAAATGAGTTTAAAAAACTATTGCTAGTAGAATATGTCAGACATTTCATGAGATTAGTCAAAGTGTGAGCAAATTAAGTCACTATCATGTTATAGTCTTGTTGAACATGGTTATCTGTTATCTATTGTTAGTAAAATATGTTAGGCATTTTACGAAATTAGTTAAGGTGTAAATAAACTCCTAGCTATCATTTTGGTTGTGGGGTGGGGTGGTGGAGATTCATGAAGTTGTGCTTTGTTATAAGTTTTTCTAAAGAATATTCAAATAATCTTCAAGTTTGAGTGTACACTGTACATAGATACAACATGAAAAGTGAAAAATGAGTTGAAAAAACATATTATAGGCCGTTTTCCAAATTTAAAATGCAATTTCAAGTTAAATATAGAACTTCCATAATTGAGAAAAAGAAGTTAATAAAAAAGTGAATAATTGCATATCAGGAGTGTATCCGGTACTGCCACCCACACCTGCAATAGGGGGATGGGAAGGTGTTGGAGAAATACATTATGTGGGCTCTGCTGTTATGGCTTTTTCCCCTGGAGATTTGGTTATTCATGCAGCTTATGTTTCAG